TAAAGAAAAAATATATAAATTCATTAAAGATTGTTGCATTCTCTAGTTTATTTCTCGATCAATTGAGAGTAATTTAATTATGAGAAATTGTAGAATATATACTTTAACATTAAAAGTATTTTTCAAAAGTTTCTTTCGTTGTTATGATTTAAAAAAAAACAAAAAATATTTTAATTTTACTTTTGAAAATTTGAAGAATCCATTTAGTTGGAATAATTGTAAAGGGATGAACCCCAAAATATTTATCAATATGCAATAAAAGAATATATGTATCATATCATATTTAAAATTTTTGCAATGTGATTTTAAAATTAAAATATAAAAAAAATACATATGATTTTGAAAAAATATTTTTGTAATAATTTAAACTATATATTTAATAAAATTTATATATATATTTCAAAATTTAATATAATTTTATTTAAACTTACTTATATAACTTATGTTTTTTTTTAATGTTAAATATGTATATATTTTAAAATATATTAAATATGATTTAATTATATCTCTTTTTTTTATTAATTTTAATTTTATCTTTTTTTAATGCACTTATCTCTTTTTTATCTAATATAATATATTTTATCTATTTTTTATTAAATTTGTATTTATTTAATTTTTATTTTAAAATATAAATCAAATCAAATAAATTATTTAAATATTAGTGTTATTTATTGTAAAATATATGATGAAGAAGTACTATATCATTTGTTATTTTAAAATTCAAAGATTTTGAAATTATTTCAGAGACACTAAGTAAAAATAATCAAAATATCTTATTTTTTATAATTAAGAAATTATTTTAAAACAAATATGAGTAGTATTTTATAAAATTTATGAAAATAATATATATGAGCAAAATAGTTATATGTTGAAAAATAATAATAATAAATTTATTGCAAGTAAATTAGTATGATATTTTTTAAAATAAACAAAGTTAATAATCAAATATTATATTATTGTATTTTTACATTTGCCACGATTCGAATCCAAGATCTTCTATTGAGAGTAACAATATGTTTTGACCATTTGAAAATTGAAAATGAATTTTGAGATATGCTACATGGAAAAATAAATGATGTAGCACAAAAAAGTTAAAGTGTGACAAGATAGTTTGATGCTTATATATATTCCAATTCTATTTTAAGGAATATACTATTTGACTAAGTAGATACAACAATGCTTGCATGAATTTAAAACAAGTGGGAAATGTAAATTGTGTTATTTGGATTTTGAAAGTGTTTAGTAATATAATTGAACTTTAAATTCATTGATCTTAAATAGTATGAAGAAGAAGAGATTAAATGGAAAGTAAAGTATTAAAAATCAAAAGATATAGATAGAAGATTCCAACTTAAACCACTAGTCGAATTCAATCCTCAAGAGTTTTTCCTTAGAATTTTTACTAACAATAATTTGAACTTTTAAACTAAGGTCAACCCAATAATCTTCCTTACACCAAAGGTTTTATCAGTTTTAACATGTATCCTCAAAATCAATTACAAAAATACAAGAGAACTATACTCCTGAATTATAATCTCAACACAAAATAATTATACAATTTTCAATATAAGTCTTTCACTTTCGCACCATTAAAGTAATGTATAATGAATAAAAATTATTTCGGGTAAGAGAGTAAGTGAGATAAGAGAGTAGTAAATTAGAAAAACCATGCTTTGGAAGACAACATGAGACTCATTTCTATAGGAGACACAATTTGGATAAAAACGAAATAATTCATTGGCTTTTTTCGCTCTCTAATCCATTAGAGCTAACATAAAAAAAAAAAACTTAATCCAAGAGCATCTTTTAATCCATTAAGAGTCAAACTCGCTCCTTAGTCGATCTGATGCAAGCTCTAAATTATTAGGTAAAGACCACAAGCAATATTTCAAGAGATTTTGAAATAGATAGATATTTGAAAACATTGAAAGAAATTTATTAAAATTTATGGTGTAAGTATTTTTCCTTCTTAAACTAGTAAAAGTAGTTTGATTATTTTTCAGCTTTTACGACTCTGCGATAAATTTATCTTTGTCATATAACTGACCAATACTTAACAATTATGTTTAAAACCTTCAACTAAAATTACATCCCAATCATTAGATTCGAAAACTTACCAATAGTATCATAAACTATGTTCTTTCCCTGTAATTATCACCATACAAAACATAACATCCATTTTTAGGAGTCAAGGAAGAAATAAAAATTTATATCCAAGCATGTGCTTTTAATATCCAGTGTCAAGATAGAATTTAACTTTTGATATTGTAAATCATATCTGCATTATGAACTTAAATCTTAACTTTAGGTACTTAAATTATTTTGGATCCTCTAACGTTAGTGTGATGTATATCATCTATAGATTTATAATTAGAACTACGATCATAGAAGATGAAGAAGACATATTTGTCATTTTATTTTCATGGTTTTTCTTATAGAAATGGGTTGAATATTTTTTTATTTTTTACTTTTATGATTTTTTTAACAAAGTAGACCATAACAATATGATCATTTTTATCATAATAGTTACAATTAGACATACTTATTGGAAAAATCCGAAGTCTCATATTGGTTAGACATACAATCTTGAAAAAGTTTATATAAAATGACACCCATAACCTTACAAGCTGGTTTGGTAAGGATGAGTTAGGTTAAACTCTAATATGGTATTAGAGTCTATCGATCAAACCATGGGCCGTCCACCGTTAATATCCACACACCAAGTCCGAAAGAGTGTTAGACGTGATGAAGTGTATTAGGAAGATCCTAAATCTTACATTGGTTAGACATTGAGCTTAAATTGATTTAAGTAGAGTGGTACCCTTGACCTTACAAGTCGGTTTTGTAAGTATGAGTTTGCTTTAAACTTTAATAATACTACATTTTGAGGTCTTATTAGCATGGTAAGTATTACTAAAATTCTTAGCATTGTTTTTCAATCATAACCTAGATCATCTTTATTAGGTGACTCTTTGATTAAAAATAAGTATTACTGCCTCTGTTCCTTTATATAGGAGACTACTGTATTCTTAGGTTCATTGAATAATCAATGTATTTGGTCAGTTTATATACTAGATACATTGAATATTCAATAAATCTATAAAAAGAAATTGTCAATTATAAAAAAGAACGGAAAATGTAGTATTAAATAATAAATTACCAATACATATCATATTAAACATATATATATATATATATATATATATATATATATATATATATATATATATATATATATATATATATATATATATATATATATATATATATATATATATATATATATATATATATATATATATATATATATATATATATATATATATATATATATATATATATATATAAGTTCGGTTTGGATTGGTTTTGAAAACAAATTTAAAACACGATCTGAATTGAGCGGTTTTTATAAAATGACATATAAATATATTTAATAATATTCAATTTTTGCGATGTTCTTGATCGATTTGCGATTTTTTTAGATCGGCTTGAATTTAAATATTCGTATTAGAGACTTTAAAAGCTCTTTTATGAGGATTTAACTAATTATCTTGGTGTCATTAAGATTGGTCATGACAAACATAGTTTAACATTTGGATAGAACTCAACTATATGTTTGTTCATATCAAGCTTTTTTTTAATTAAAAGATTATCCCTTAGGCGCTTTAAATTAGATGGTTTAATTGCTTTTATTTAATTAAGAACTTTTGAATTAAGATCTCCCATATATACGGGAATGAGGCTTGTGCAATGACTTTAATAATACTATTTTTGGCTATGACGACTTTATTTGGTGAGATAATTTAATCCTTTTAAGATGCTTGTTTTTGCTTTCAACTTTTAATATGTTATTTTAAAGTTTTGTTTTAGGTGATTAACTTGGGATTGAGGTATCAACCTTATTGAAATATTTCCTCCCATCTTTGCACCTCATTGTCTCTTACAATGTAATTTTGCAATTGTAATCTCCATTAATCTTCTATTGTGTAATAATAACACAATCTTCTTCTCCTCTCTCAATATTTCCATATTTAAGCCCTTAAATATTATGATTCTTCAATTTGGATACTTTCCAAAGTATTAAAGTTGTCTCCAACTTGGGGTTGAAGATAAATATTGTACCATCACGATACTTGAGACAGTCAAAGATTAAAGAAAGAAAAGAAAAAGTTGGGAAATATTTGGTAGACCCCATTATTATTATTTTTTATAAAATAATTATATTTCTCAACAATAAATTTCAAAATAATTATATTTTCAAAATAAAATCAAATTAACTATGTTTCAAACAAAAAAAAATACTAATAAATAGTGTTGTCAGATCCATTGACGCATGCATACAATTTTTATATACACACCAGCATACATGGCACATACATATAGGACATATTACTGTATGTCGCGTATGCATGCATCTTCTAAAAACATGTGTCAGATGTAGTGGCTTATGTGTATAAGAATTTGGCTACACCTCTTCTCAGCAATATTTTTTTTAAATACGATTAGTTTTTTTTTGTATTTTTTCTAGATATATAGTTATTTTGAAAAATATGATTATTTAAAAAAAAATCCATTATTGCTTAAGAAATGAAAAATTAGAAGACGAAACTTTATAATTTAAAAATAAGAAAATAAATTTGCACAATCACAATAACTTTGGTGGAGTCTCCATATAACATAAAACTATATATCAATTTCTAAAAGACCAAATTTTATTGTATTTTTATTAAGTGTAACAAAATATTAAAGAAAGCATTCACAACAGTTTCCAAAGGTTTTCTTCTTAATGTGTAAAAAAGAAAAGGTTTTATCTTACCATATACATTTCAATGATTTTGTATTTGATTGCTTCAAGATTTTTTATAAGGATCCATACTTTGCTTCATAGACTAATAGAAGAATCTAAATTTTTTAGCATAAATAAGGGTTGTAAACAACCAAGTATAATTCATTCCAATACTTACAACATTCAATTCAACTCATTGTTTTCTAACTAATCAATGGCCACTTCCACATTTCTGTCCCTAACATGCACTCCTCAAAGCATGTTGCATTCCAAACATAAGTCACATACACAATCCTCAACCATGTCATTGTTGTCACCTCAATTAGGTCAAAAAGGTCTCTATAACCCTCTAAGACACAATGTGTCTTCTCCAATTCAAGTGAAACCTAAGAGAATTCATGTTGGTGGCTTGGTGAAGGCATCAATGAATAGCAAGGATGTGCATGTGCTAAGCAAGGAGCATCTTGCTATTTCTTTGGCCAAATATGTTGCTGACCTCTCTGAGAAATATATCCGAGAGAAGGGAAGTTTCACCGTCGTTCTGTCTCCTGGACCCGTCAAATATCTCAGGTATCATTTTTACACTACTCCTTTAAATACTTTTACATCGGTACGGTAAATCTGTCACATTTCACATCAGGCGACTGACCGAGGTGAAAAACAGTTTTTCACTTGGATCAGTTATCAGCATTACATGAAAATCTAGAGTAGGGAAATTTTAGCAATGAATTCTTGTTGATGTTACAATATCAGGAAGCTGGTGGAACCTCCATATTGTGACACTATTGATTGGGCTAAGTGGCATGTATTTTTGGTGGATGAGAGAGTGGTCCCAAAGACTAATGTTGATAGCAACTACAAACTTGCTTATGATGGATTCATCTCCAAGGTATTATATATACATGCCGAAACCTCACAGTTTCGTGCGTGTGAGTTTCTGGTAGTTATTATCACTTTCAGTGTGTAATGATTATAAGAACTGATTCATATTGTTGTATTTCGAAGGTACCAATTCCGCGACTAAATGTGAACTCAATTGAAGATCCCTTACCAGCTGATGGAGCCGCAGATGCTTATGAAACAACACTAAGACGTTTAGTGACAAGAAATGTGATATCAACATCATCACTAACTGGATTCCCAAAATTTGATCTTTTGCTATTAGATATGGGACCTGATGGACACATAGCCTCTCTTTTTCCAGGCCACCCTGCATTGAATGAAACTAGTAAATGGGTTACATATCTTACGGATGCGCCTAACCCGCCGACGAAGAGGATCACTTTTACATTGCCAGTGATTAATGCTACTTCAAATATTGCTATGGTTGTGACTGGTGCTGGTAAAGCTGATGCTGTTTATGCTGCTCTTGAGAAAGCTCCTAATGATGATAAACTTCCTATTCAAAAGGTGAACCCTGAGGGAGATGTGAAATGGTTCTTGGACAAAGGTGCTGCTTTAAGGCTCTATAAGTAGATTTCGACACAAAACACTCACGTTAATTTTTTCTTTCTAATATTTTCTGTTTTATCGAGTAAAATACGGATAAAACAGAAAAATAAAAAAAAAGAAGGTTAACGTGAGTGTTAGAATATTTATATATATTTAAATTACTGTTAAAGATAAAATAAAGGCATAAGATGGAACTGGTTTTCAATATGATGTCATACATACTATTTGTCTTGTTTGTCTTGTTTACAAGACAAAAACAGAAGCTTAGAATAATTGGTTTTCCTTTTTGAATGTAAATGGATACTTGTGAAGTATTCTAAAAAGTGTGTGTTATTTTAAGGAGCAAAAATGTATTGTTAATTGCAATAATAATATTTATTTACTTAATATTATATATTATTGCACTATTTAGGTGAGGTTTTACTTCACTAATGCTAACTTGTAGGTATAATGGTGCATAAGGGAGAAAATCGGAGGGTTTAGATGACCCTAATAGCTTTTAATGGGCCTTTTACATGATTAGACACATGACTCAAAGTAATCTTAGTTCAGCATTCTCATTCAGTCAATTTAATCTCCAGTTGATTTAGTAAAGTAGTAATATTGAAAAGTTTTAAAATATCGATCTCGAAAACTGCATTATATTTTATAATTTGAATTTCAATGCAGTTAAATAAAAGCAATTAGAAATTTTGAGTTTGTTTTTGTTGCGAAAGAGAAAATATATGAATAAAATATGCAAAAATTAAGGTTTGTATATAAATTTGTTAACCATCTAAATTGATTTTGTAACGATTTACTTTAGCTCTACAGATTATCAGTTCTTAAGGGTGTCTATTTGTAAGTCTTTAGTGAATAAACTATTAAGGATTCAAATTAATCTATATGTCAATAGTAAATGATAGATAAATTTAAGTATTTGATTATCAAGAACATGTCGGTTTTTATACTATATTCATAATCTTAGGTGATGTCAGATATAAAATACTTCAATCAAGTGTTATTGTTAAAAGTCCTTCCTAACAGATAACCGTAAATCAATTTTCAATTTGATCAAAATAGAAAATATTAAACTCATAAAGAAATAAATTGTGTAGAAAATAAAATATAAGTCATTGCAGTGATCAATTCAGAAAATTAAACTAGTTCAAGAACAGTAACCTCATCCCTAGCATTGGAGGGTTTAGTTACTCGTGACAATGAAAATAAACAAATCAAAAGCGTCAAACATTACACAAAGATTAAAGATGAAAAGTCTTCAATGGAGAAGTCCCTTTAAGTTGATGTTCCACCTTGCTTCTATTGTGTTCTCCCGCTCTTAATTCGTGACTTACCGTCTAAAATCAAGATAAACCTTCAAAAATTACTTCCTCTCGTTAAATATAAAAATTGGGCTTTTTCTCAAATTCTTGCACCCGCATAGTGCATACGCGTACGGATCTGGTACAGTTCATGTGAATTTCATCATACGCGTCTGCCTCCTTCTGTAGCACCTCATACACGTATGGATATGTGTATGGGTATATGGTTGCATGGCCCTGGGTTATGCCTGATATGCGTAAGGAAACATACACCCTTTACTGCAGCGTTCCATAGGCGTATGGATACGCGTATGAGTAGAATGCATTTTCTCTTCTCCTGGTCTGGACGCTCCTTAGGCGTCAACACATGTGTTTTGGATCGGACTTTGATCTGGTCGCTTTTCTGTTTTTCTCCAAACCTGTCAAACACATGAGAATATTCCCAAAAATAACAAATAATACCAGGAATACTCGAATCATAAACAATCGCTAAATTTATGAAACAAAAAATTAAACTACTCAAATTGTATGGAAAATGCTGATAAATCACATACTTTTACTGTTAAAACAATGATAACTATAACATAAAATGGTGATTGATCAGTTGTCGTATTGAAAGTTAGACGGTTTTTCACTTTGCCAATCATATTTAGGATCAAGAATTATTTTATTATGAAGATGAAGATAAATTGTGTTATAGCTCGCCTATTAACTTTACTAACAGGGTCTCTCCTATCAATTTTATTGGTTTGGGAAACTTTGGTTTCGATGGCTTCTCATTTTAGGAAAGTTGGTTACATATTTGATTTAGTGATGAGATTTTGAAAATTTGAAAATAAGAGATTTTTATTATTGAGTTCGTCCGAGCTTTCAACCCAGTGCCTACGTATTTCAGAGGAAATCAGAACTCCGTAGTTATTGCTGAAAATATTTTTTGTTTGTTGTGTGCTTTTTATGGACGATGCTAGGAAGCATATCCTTTTTGAAAAGTTTTAAACGGAAAAGCCCGAAGGCAAAAAGGGTTTGAGATGTTTTATATATTTTTTAGATTTTTGAAAAGAGGTTAGAAATAAGTTAAAGTATTTTTGGGTTTTATAAGAAAAGAGATTTTAGTTTTAAGAAAAATACTTGATGTATGATCGAGGTTTGAATTTGCGTGATGGCGATTGCAAAAGGCAACCGACTTATGAGGAAAGTAACCACTTGACCTTAGATTAAGGGTTTAAGAGAGAAAGTGTTGGCATGAGGTTGATGGCGATGCTAAAAAGCAGTCGACTTACAAGTTGGGGCATGACTTTATATATGAATCAATAATGTTTTTAAAACTAATTTAGGCGTGAATGAAAATAAGATGCATACAAAATATTAACATCACACATCAAATGAATCAAAATGTAAATTGAAAAGAAAAATGCACGGATTAAAATCATGACGCAAATACGCGAATCAAGGTCGCATGCGCGAAAACGTGCAAGGCTACAAAGAGAAATTAGATTGGATCCACACATGACGATGTTGGATCGTTATTCTTAACCAAATTAAAAACAAACTGCAACCACGTAAGCGATCATTGCAATTCAAATCAAGAACAACAAGATAATAATATAAAATTACAAACTACAAATTGAAACACGAAACGGTAAGCGCAAAAAGTGGATCGCCACCGTGCTAAACCGTCTGGCGCGTGTAAAATCGAAATACAACAATAATCAATCATAAAACCGCACATAAACCAATAAAACTGACCAATTGTTTGCTACATTCAACATGATCATCGTAATCTGAATCCAGATCGTGCGGATCTAAATTTATAAAATAGAAAATACATAAAAAATTAAATTTAAGGTACTAAAAAAATCAACAATGTTGCTAACGCAGAAAATACGATCATGACAACTGAATCGAATTAAACATAAATGCATGCATCATACACACAAATATTCGAACAACGTATCGATATAATCTAATCAAAACTAAAATACAGCAGTGATATATATATATATATATATATATATATATATATATATATATATATATATATATATATATATATATATATATATATATATATATATATATATATATATATATATATATATATATATATATATATATATATATATATATATATATATATACACACCCGCGGACGTTAGAAATTAGTTGAAACAAAAGCAGTGTCGACCTATTAACATATATACATGCAACTGACTCGCACAGTACAATAGTCACATATAAATATATATATATATATATATATATATATATATATATATATATATATATATATATATATATATATATATATATATATATATATATATATATATATATATATATATATATATATATAACTCGCATAGTGCACTACAAATATATCAATTTATGTTATACAATAGCGACATATAAAGATATATTCATATATTAAACTAAACGTAAGCAGAGTATGTATATAGCAATATGTTTCCAACCTTACCGTAGTGCGCCACTACGTTGTTCTCTCTTCCGGTCTCCTTTTCAGTTAGGAGCACCAATAATATATTTTAGAATTAAATTAAGATTAATCTAAATTATCAATAATATCTCTAATATTTATTTTAAAGCTCAAATAACACAGTTAATTAAATTTAAAATAAAATACTAATTATTTTATTTATTTATTTTAAATATTTAGACAAAAAATATAAAAATAAACGAACTCCAAATAAATAAAAGTCAGGCGCCGAAGTACTAAAAAACAAATAAATTGATTACATTAAAATGATCAGCGCGAAATAAACGACTCGAAAAAATACAGCGTTTAGCCAGATTTTAAAATAAATTTTGATCTGTTAAAATGTTCAAATGGATCAAAATAGGACGAAAAATAGTCTAAAAAAATAAAATGAGCACGTCACGTTAAACTACGTGAAATGCAGATTAATATAATTGACGTTTACGCGTTCAATTTTGAATTTTTCCGTTCGCTGATTTTACGCATATTTGAGATTCAGTTTGACCAATCTGTTTGTAAATCCGAGAAATTATTTCAGGTGACATTTTAGGCACTATGCAAGATTAAATGCATGATATGTTATGCAAAGTGAAAATAAAGACAGATAAACGAAAATTTTAAAATGCTTGGACAAAATTGGGGTATGACACCTGTAGATAACAATGATAACTCATTGGATTCAAACAATCATACCTCATATAGAGTCCTATGTATGGATGCGAGATATTGGATTGAACTCTAATATATCGTCAGAGTAATGAGTGTTATAGTCGAAGTTTGTTTTAACATGCATTAGTCAATATTGCTAGGTTTGTTAGCATATTGAATTGGGTCTTACTTGTAAGCCCAATTGTTTAAGTTAACTTGTAATGAATAATTAAAAGGCCCATTATATTAGTGTATTATTTTTCTTATAAATAGCATGTTAGTCTCTCATCTTGTATAAAGAAAAATAAGAAGATAAAATCATAATTCAAAAGAAATAGGTTATTTGTTATTCTTGTATACTTGTAATCTTGTTTGATAGGTAAAGGAAAGAATAACAGTTTATAACAAATCCTTGTTGTTTTCCCCTTGTTTTCTTTGTTAACCATAACCCTTGTATGTTTCTTGTCTATAAAGAAACCGTTTATATTTTGTTTCAAGGCATTTGTTAGATGACAAACTTTGCTTATTTGATATATCAAATGTTGGCATCTTTCATTCTTTTTGTAGAGAAATTGAATTGA